ACAATAACAAATGATAATAATAATGCATTTTATTTATAAGCATTTTTAAGTCACCAAAGGACTTTTTACAAAACCAGATCAGACAATCAGTGCGTAATAAAAGACAACAACAAACACAGGGTGTCTACAGGTCCTTAAAATGTCTTAAATTCAACATTACAACAATAAGGGCTTTCAAAGTCATTAAATAGTATTAACTTTGAATTTGTGTGGTCTCCACTATGACAAAATATTTTGTCATTTTACTTCATACTTGCACTCACCTGTTGGCAAAATGTAGATCGACTTAACTCACTCTATTTAGCATATTCCTACGTAACACTTAGCTCTGCACAAGACCACATATATTCTACTGACCTGCAATGCTTAAATAAGTAAAACATGATTTGTCCAAAAATCTGTCCTAAATATGGTTAGAAGGTGTCTTGAACAGGCCTGTAAAAGCATTAAACACCCTGTAACAACAACAATACTGAAATACATACAGAGATAAAGAAATATATATTCATAAAACATATTTTGAAACACCAGGAAAGGCTGTTCTAAAAAGACGAGTTTTCAGTTCTCTTAAATGAAGCAACAGCTGTGCAGTGACGCAGACCCACAGATTAGGGCCAGCCACACTGATGTGCACGATTTGGGATTATAATCTAATATAATGTAATATTTTTATGGTATTTTTAGTAAAGTAAAATCAGTGGTCTTGCTTTTTCTGTAGTGAATTGCACATCTATTAAAAAACAGTATTAATTCAAATAAACACAAGAAGTTTGTGCTCTAGAGAAAAGATCAGCACTCAGTGAATAACCTCCTAAACCCTATGATAAGCTAATATGGCAAGGCTTAACTATACAGACCAGTGAGCAGTGACAACTAACATGTCTTTGGGGTCATCGGGTGCGAACCTCCTTTCACCAGTGTTTCGTCTAGTTGGTCCCACGACACCTCCAGGAGGCTAGACAGTGATCTCTGGCGTCCCAGAGACACTCCCCTAATGCCAGGTCTCACTGCTCCCCGCACCAACCCAATAAGCTCCTTTACCTTACCTATACTACCACAGAGGAGGTAGACCCAGGGAGAGTAGCCTAATTAAGGCTATAACACTCCCCCGCTGGGTTAGGCTGTACAGTCTACCTCTCCAAGATGAGCCCTTAAGACAACCTCCTTTACCTTACTGACACATGGCTTTCTCAGCCCAAACAGCACTGCCACCTTCAACAAACCCAGGCTTCGTTCATGCGAGCTCCAGGTAAAGACAGTGCTGATACGACCTTTCCTAGCACATTCACCATACTCTATTTCACACGCTACATAGCATAACTACAATATAAGCTAAAGTTAAAGGTAAAGAAAGGTAAAGTTATATTTATACTGTGTTCAGATCAGTGGAACTACAGTGGACTTCAACTCAGACACTGAATGAACACGAGTCATTTCTACTGGTGTTTTCTTTTTGAACAGTTCTTTGTGTGTATATTTTTTTACTTAGTGTATATTTAATAATAAAAGTTATCCAATCCAAATGTTTTAGGGAGAGTTGGAATTATGTAAATATCTAATTCATGATGATACAGATCGAAATGGGAAAACTTCTGATGAAGATCCGTGTGGTTCTTTTGTTAACCAGACCTACACACTTGATATAGATCCATTACTTTCAACTAGAGGGTAAATCAGAAAACATAAAATCTAACACCTGTGAGTACTATACTTGAGTTGGTTTTGTTATTTGTACGTCCACTTTGGTACAAAACTGCAGATGTCTAATTTAGGGATGGATTAGACCAGTGAAAAAAATGTTGTATCATAAAACTTAGGATCATGAATCTTGTATTTACAGTTTGACCATTTCATGACAACCTTTTGCATCTCAATGCAGCAGACGTTTTGGTCCATCATGGCCCTCAGACCCACTGATGTCCCCTCTTTCCCAGTCCACAGCTCCCCCTGCTGTTCCAAAACCTGCCTCATTTGTCAGGCTCAAACAAAGATTATGATACAGTTAGCACTCCATAAATGGGCTTCGGTTGACAAGACAAGAGTTATTTTTAATCCCCGGGTGTTACTGCGACTGATACTGGGAAAAGGACCAAGACACCAAAAGAGACCAACAGGAAAAACGCACCAAAAGAGCGTCATGAAGATGACTCAGTATCACTGTGGGACTGAAACATGTTCAGTAGCCAGTAACAGTGGCCTAGTTGGCAGAGCAGTAAACTCAGAATGTGGTCAGCACCATATGTCTCAGCATGTGTGTGCGTTTGAACAGAAATGTAGATGAAAGAGAGGAGAGACGTAGCAGGGAATGCGGAGGCGGGATGGAACAGAAGAGAAGAGGGAGTGGTATGGAGGAAGGTGGAGGAGGATGAAAAGGTGTGATAGAGGAGAGGTGGATCGAAAAGGAGGAGGACAAATGAGAAGAGATGTTACATAACAGGAAGTAAAGGAGTGGCAGTTCAGCCTACCAGGAACTCCATGCAATTTACGTCCAATTCCAGCATTCAGTGGCAATGCAGGAAGTAGTGTATCGTTTATGTAGAAAGGTGGAAAGTGAGGGAGCGGAGGCCGGAGTTCACGTTCAGCTGATGCTGGCCTTGTGATTAATGGTATCATCATCCATCCTGAACCAAAGCTGCTGCAGGCAGATATTATAGACAGCAAGTATCTTTCAGATTTTGGCATTTGATGTAAAAATTCATCGTGCATGTGGAGGAAGCAGCATGAAGAGGAGGGAATTTCCGGCCCAGCTGGCAGAAGGAAATGTTGGCATCGTACGTTTCTGCAAATCACAGATTCGTCAGCATTTGTACGTTTCAAATGTATCAGATGATGATGTGGTGGATGGCGTGACACTTCTGCAAGATGTCTGCCAAGCTGCAGACCTTTATTTGAGACGAACAAACAACAAACCAATTGATTTTAGTGACCTGTCATTGTGTTTTGGACAATAGTGGATTGTTTTTCATTTTTCATTTTTATGCTGATGATTCACAGATGTATCTGCCCATTAGACGTTGGAATGATGTGTTCACTCAGTGACTGCCTTACTGATCTTAAAAGTTGGATGTCAAAAAAATGTTCTTCAGCTGAATTCAGATGAAACAGAGATCGTCGTCATCGGGCCCCACCATGTTACACAACAAGTTCTACCTTTGGCTGGTGCCCTAGTGGATAATATCAAACCTGTTGCAAGAAATCTTTGCGTCTGGCTTTACAGATATTTAAGTTTTGAGCAGGACGTCACAAAGCTTGTTCAATCATGTTTTTATCACCATGGAAATATTTTCAAAAATATGATTAATTTTAACTTTTAAAGACACAGAGACAATTTTACACACCTTCATCTCATCACGCCTGGGTCACTGCGTTAGCCTTTTTTCTTGCCTGAATCAAAGATCTAGTGATGGACTCCAGACTGGACAGGTTTTTAACCAGAACCAAGAGACATGATCACATCACTGCAGTTTCAGCCTCTTTTTAAAATAGATTTTAATATTTTGCTGATTACTTTTAAGGCTCTTCATGGTCTCTCTCCCAGCTATATCTCCGACCTCTTAGTGCCGTACACTCTAGGACGTACTTTTAGGTCCTCAGGCAGAGGTCTTTTGTCTGTTCCAGAGGCCTGGCTGAAAACTAAAGGGGACAGAGTGTTTGCTGTCAGGGCCCGAGGCTCTGGAACAATCTGTCCGAGGAAATCTGCTCTGCAGAGTCAGTGATCTCTTTTAAATCCCTTCTTAAAACATTCTTTTAATAGAGAGCCTTACCTGATTTACTTTTTACTTTTATTTGCTCAGTTTTTGTGTCCTAAAAAGTTGTCATCAGTTCTTGAAAAAGTTGTGGTATTCATGTCTTGATTGATATAATAAAGCACTTTGGGTAACACTTCACTTGAAGGTATCTACATAAGAGTGACATGACACTGTCATGAACTTGTCATAAACATTATGTACATGTCATAAATGTTTATGACTGCTGTCATTAAGTGTCATTAGTTTTTTTGTAATGACAAGTTGACATTGTTTGGGTTGTCTTGATTATGACAACTTGACATTAATCAAAGTGACATTACCAGAAGTTGTCTTTGTCATGACAAGTTGACATTAAATTTGTTTGGGATGTCCATAAAGACTACTAACATAAAGACATCTTCTGGTAATGTCATCCTGGTTAATGTCAAGTTGTCATAATAAGGACATCCCAAACAAATTTAATGTCAACTTGTCATGACAAAGACATCTTCTGGTAATGTCACTTTGATTAATGTCAACTTGTCATAATCAAGACAACCCAAACAATGTTACTGAGACACTGCTGTATTTCCTGCTGAGACAGTCCCACAAAAAGCTGGTATCTTAAGCCAAGACATGATCGTTTCCTCACCATAACCAAGTCATTTTTGTGCCTACTGCAAAGTCTTAGGGCTGCAAAATAGTTTGCTTTGGGTGCATCAGTACAATAAACAAACTAGAAAGTACAGCAGAGATATTCACACACCAATGTAACTGAGCTAGAGAGCCACAAAATATCCACAGGCAGAGATCAATGCAAAAACAGTTTATTTAAGACATGCATAAAAAAGGTGCTCAAAATGCAAAAAACTGTGACAAAGAGTGAGTAAAAACAGCAGCAAATGTTTCAGTGCTGCTGACATGAGAGCTTCACTGAACAGGTAGAGACACAGACAGATCCCCACCAGGTGTGATACATCAATCAGCTGGTGCCACCAATTAGATGAGGTCAACTCCCAGGTGCAGAAGCATGTCTACCAAATCAAAGTGATCTGTCATACGAGTACGACACTAGTTAGTGTTACATATTAGCAACATCACAAGCCAAATGTCTTTGGAAAGTTAGTGTTTGAATATGCTGAAACACAGCAGTGAGATGTGTCAGTTGCAAGAATCAAAATCAGAACAGTGTTTGAGATGTTGACTAAAACATGAAATTCATTTGAACATGTCAAATGTGGAGCTGGAATGGACGATTGGTTTGATTTTAAGTCGTCTACTGGCAGTAAAATTTCTCTAAAAGTTTGTTTAGGAGCTCCGAGGACATTGTGTGTGATGAATGAAAAATTGGAGAGACATCTAACAATCCATAGCTCTTTTCATGACTCTGCTGTTGAAGCCAATTTTCCAGTCATGCCATGTCATGTGAGGTGCAAGAGAACAGTGTGAGAGAGAAAGTCATTTGCAAAGGTTGATCAACAGTTTCAGCTTCCTGTTGAAGGCGTGGTTTGTGAAGCTGATCTATTTATGGCAACTTCCCTCCAGAAAGCAAAACTAGTTGGTACAAGTGCTGAGCTACACAGAGAGAAGGACTGTCAGCACAGTTTATGGTTAGAAAAACACATTTTAGGTTTCGAGTTGGCACGGTAGAGAGAAACAAGGTTATTTTGATGATAAGTTTGGGGTTTAGAAGCAAGGAAGTCTATATTTTAAGTGGATACATTGAGATCATAAAAACTGAAAGGTAGTTAAAATGTTTAGGGTCAGTCATTGCAAAAACAGGCTCAGGTAAAGTCCAGGTGGGTGACGGTTGAGTATTTGTTCAGCTACAGTAACTTTGTCTCATAAATCTCAGTTCCTGACACCATGTTTGAACTTTGAGCCTTCTGCAAATGATGTTGTCTGACAGAGAAGCAATGAACGAGCACCTGCTGAAAATACTGATCGTTGGCGATGGAACTGTTGGAAAAACCTCCTTTGTGAGCCGCTACGTCAACGGACTGTTCAGCAAGAGCTACAAGGCGACAGTGGGAGGTAAGGCTGCTTTGGTTTATCAAGGTGCTGTAGGAGAATGTGACTGTACAGGATCTTAATCTTGGGTTGGATCGTGTATGTGTGTGTGTGTGTGTGTGTGAGAGTGAGTGAATATTTCATTACTGCTGAAAACTTTATACAGATGTGTTTCAGTAGGGCAAAATGTGGCCCTGGTGACACGTTACAGCAGGAACTCCTATAGACACTGTTTTGAGTACTTTGGCAGGTCTCTGTAGACAGATTTTTGTCATCGCAATAATGTCACAACGGTGCAAGATACATTAAAAAAAACTTCATAGGTGTGTGTACTTGAGGTCAAAATGAAGGCCAAGGTTCAATCCCCTGCTCAAAGTGGTGAAAGGGTAAGTAAGAACGGCGTCATTGGCCCCCCCACCACCTGGGGTGGCTGTGGTTCAGAAGCGAGAGCAGTTTGTCCACTTATTGGAAGATCCTTGTGAAAGATACTAAACTCCATCTGTGTGTGAATGTGTGTGCAAATGGGTGAATGTGACATGTAGTGTAAAAGCGCTTTGATTGGTCAAGGGACGAGAAAAGCACTATATTGCTTTACGCCCCTGGCTGACATTCTCTTTAAGTCATGGATTGCTATATCGCCACTGGAGCGATCCCATCTCAAGATGGTGAGAAATATCTTGAACCTCTGGAACTTATTTAACCTGTTAAGAATTTTTTTCAGTATATCCTAAATACTTTGTCAAACAGGTGACACATGGCTCCTGAAAAACTGTTTTTCACCTGACAATGGCGATTTGATCTCAAACTTTATTCAAAAAGTCCGTGTTTAACATTTGAAGGGAGCTAAAATGAAACCTGCTGTTCACTCTCACTTTTTCTAATGTTCTCCTGCTTCATTGAAGCTTTATTGGCATTAGGAGTAAATCAAAAATGTTTCCAAAGAATAAACATAAACAGAGGAGAGTAAATAATACATATAACAAATACACAAAAAGAAGTGCTATACAGTAAATGGCTTGTTTGTATTTCACATGAAACAACTAGCTTTTGATATCACTTACAGGTGGTGTAAGACTGGTGTTATTCGATATGTGTCATTGGCATCAAGTCTCATGAAAAAAGACCAAACCAACATTGTGTTAGTCTTCCTCTAAATGCTTTGACTTCCCTACCCTGGAACCCAAGCCAAAAGCATGATAGTGTGCTGAACATTTCAGCTGAGGAGAGTTCGAGGAAACTCTTGTGTTTCAATGAAAGTCTGGAATTTTACATTTTAATTTCAAAATTTTGCCTATTTTAAGTGGTCTGTACATAGAAATCAGTTTCTGTCCTCACTTCTGTTTCAGTTCTTTCACTTCTCATTTATTTCTTTTCACTTCTCTTTCTCTAATATTTGCTTTCTTTATTTCTCCAGTGGATTATGCTGTGAAGCTGCTGCACTGGTCCGATAAAGATAAAGTTAGACTGCAACTATGGGACATCGCAGGTACAAAACATTTCCAGTCGATGGGTGGGTGGGTGGGTGGATAGATGGAAGGATGACACAGGGAACTTTCTGTCCTTCCCTCAGGCCAGGAGCGTTTCATATCCATGACCAGGATCTATTATAAAGGCGCAATGGGATGCGTCGTGATGTTTGACGTCACCAACACGTCCAGCTTCCTTAACTGTCGCCATTGGAAACGAGACCTTGACAACAAGGCAATGCTGCCCAACGGAGACTCCATCCCCTGCATCCTGCTGGCCAACAAGGTGATTCAGTGCATTTACATAATGAATGATGTATCCTGAAACCCTTCTGGCTCACTTTTTAAATGCACTGCTACATTCAGCTTCCCACCATTTTGAGACTCTTCCAGTGAATCAAATGAATAAATAATCAGTTGAATACAACATTTTATGAAGTAAAATCATTTCATGGGAGGATCAGCATTTCCCATTCAAATGAATTAAAAAAGTTAACAAAGTTAACAAAGTTGAGGTCATTTTTACTATTTTGTTTTACACAATGTTTGGCTCTTTTTACCCCCTGAAAGACCATTTTTAGGTCTGATGTATGGCATACCTTTTCTTCAGCACAATCCAGTACTAGGCTAAAGGCCTTTGCACACCAAGTCCTTGTTTTTTGTTCGAAATTGTTGCACATCTAAACATAAATACAACCTTACGTTGCATCAAACATGTTTGCACATCTACTCCAAAACTTTGGCCAGTCATTTAACTTTTCAAATCAGGTTTGATTTTCCACAGGTTTTTTTTCGCATCCATCAAAAGCCTTTAGAGAGGTGTTTGACCAAGGAGCAGCGAGGAAAATGTGTTATAACCTGCAGGATACATATATTTATATATATATATGTGCAACGAGAAAGAGGAACAGGGCACAGGTGCACAGAGGCCCAACAAGACAAAGGAGTAGAAATAGCTTTACAGCCAAATCTGCCCCCCAGTAGGCTGCTGAATGGCCCCACAAACATTTTCTAATTCATAATGATAACAAACAGATTCGTTACAATGGGAAAGCATCAAAATAAGTGCCAGGGGAGGATCCTCTGGACCCCCCAAAACAGGTCCAGGCTAAGCCCTGAATGTCCTCAATCCTAGAATTGCCTGTGCATACACCTGACCTGTTAGGGGGCTGCTGCATTTGGCCCCTAGCCTCCTTTCATTTAGTAAAAGTGGCCCCCTGGCAAAGCAACTTGAATATCTCTGTCCTATAGGCTATGGAAGTAATGTCTTTGACATCTTTCAAGACAAACAGAAAGTAACAGAAGCCTCTCCAGAAATGCACAACAACAATGATGATGCCTCCAGCAGTGAGCAATTTAATAGCCGCACAGTATTATTTCATAACTAAGGTAGTCGCAGTACCAAATGCAAGATGCAGGCAGTGGCCTCAGCCAGGGGGCAACTTCAGTGGAAAGAAGTAGGGGCACATATGTGTCGTTACATTTTGACTCATATTCTAAATTTTCACAATGAATAGAACAAAAAAATGTACCATGCACAGTGTGCAAGGTATCTGTGCACTCTATCAGAAGATGGATTTACGAAATGCATATGAAAAAACAGGGACTTGGTGTACAAAGGCCGTTAGGTTATCAGGTCAAGTCAATTCAATTTGAAAGCCCAATATTACAAATCACAAATTTCCCTCAGGGGTCTTTACAATCTGTACAGCACACAGACCTTCTGTCCTTTACCTCGCTCTAGAGAAGGAAAAAATTCCCTGAATGAGGAAAAATGAAAGAAACCTCAGGTACAGCAACTGAGGAGCAAAATCAGTATCTTACTCCAACCTCGGGGAGTCGTGCAAGACTGTGACCCACTCAATTTACAACAACACAATGTCTCTCTGCCCCTCCCTCTCCGTCTCTACAGTGTGACCTTCCTCAGCGGGTCGTGTCAGCGGACAGCATCGACAAGTTCAGTCAGGCCAACGGCTTCATCACGTGGATGGAGATTTCAGTAAAAGAGAACAAGAACATTGGAGAGGCTATGAGGTAACTCAAGAAGATGACATGATACAGTGTGAATGGAGAGTACATTTCAAGGTAATAGGCTGGAGTAGACTAACAGAAACAAACAGGCCTGCCATTCTAAATAGCCAACAAGAAATGCCTCTCACCTTTGTAGAGTCATCGTGAATGAAAACTGTGCACCCATTATTGAGTCATTCATCTTGGTCTGAATCACAGGAGCAACCAGGAAAGAAAAGCGTCCTTTCACACAGTTCTTTGCCCTGGTCTCTTCCTAGTTCTGTTTTAAAGTTCTCCAAAGGGATGCAACCTGGTGGCATCACTCACTGATCGTTACAGGTCGATCTAATGAATGCAAACAAAGGCTTAATTGAGTAGAACTGGGCAATATATCGAAAGTATATTGATATCATCTCGAATTGTGGATATTGTAATAGAAATGTTTCCTGTTTTAAAGGCAGCATTACAGTAAAGGGATGTTTGCCTTTACCCACTTTGTCATAATATTGGGGCATTACTGATGATTATTAAAAATTTCATTGAGTGGAAGCACCAACAGTCAATCCTGCAATATTATCATCACATTATTGAGGTGTTAAGTCAAACATATTGTGATGTTTGATTTTAGCCATATTGCCCAGCTCTATTAGTAAGTTGGAAATCCCATATACCTGTACATGTGTTGTCTGCTGTTGGGTTTAAACGTTATGGCTTCCTTGGTCACAATTATATAGCCTAGTTAGTAAACAAGGTAAAAATAATGGACGTAGCCACCATGACATCACCCAGTGGTTTGTGGACTCCAGTTTTAAGCCTCAAATTAGGCATTTTGGCCAGTGCCATCTTTGATTTTTGGTGCCAGAAGTGACCATATTTGGCCCAGAGGGTGGGGCTAACTTTAATGCTAACTTTGATGCATTTACAGCTATGGCTGATTTTGATAATGCTAATGCTGATTTTAAATAGCGAAAAGCAGGATTAAAACAATATGTAACTAGAAAAGCAGTCAGAGTGTGCAGACCTCAGCCAAGTAGGTGATATTCCCTCTCCCTCACCTTCCCCCCCTAACGTTAGCTAATCGCTAACATTTAGCTAAGTTTTGCTAACCGCTAACGTTTGTCAATCGCTAACGTTATGCTACCTTTTATAACAGCAAGAATAAACACACCTGTAGGAAAGAAATAGGCAACGTTGCCGTTTATGGCTGTTTAAAAATGTGCTGGCTCTAGTACCAGCTGAAGATGACTTCAATGTAATTGCTAACGTTAGCTAATCGCTAATGTTGGCTAAAGTTAGCTAATCGCTAACATTGGCTAACGTTAGGTAATCACAAACGTTTAGCTAACTTTCACTAACCGCTAACGTCTGTCAATAGCTAACGTTATGTGCATTACAAAACATCAAGTTGGGTGGTAGTTTTAATCAACAGCAGCGTCTTGAACATATCGTGTCATTGAGTCAGGAAAACTGCCATTCAGTCAGACGATAGACTTTATGTGTTCCTGACGAACCCAAGTAGGCCTACTCGCCACTGCCAACTGGTGGCGCACGTCTGGTCATGGAATGAGTCTGTTCTAAAACTCGGTGAATACACAGTGTTATTTAGCACTATCTTATTATTTTATCCACTTTGCTTCAACCGATCACCAACATCACTATTTTGCAGACAAACAAGCAGACAGACAAACAGACCAACGCCGGTGAAAACATAACCTCCTTGGTGGAGGTAATTACTGGAAAAACAGAACATCCAACACCATGGAGGCTCTTTTAGTACAATCCAACGCTGATCGATCATTTTTTAGGCAACCAAAATGTTACAATTCACTCTCATGAACTGAAAACACACTGAAACAGTGATAGCCTGTGAACCTGGGGTTATGCCATGGTTACGTTACCCAACCACCACTGTCGCCATGGTAGAGCCTTGTCAATGGATGGCACCCACCTGTCACTCAAAGCAGCCAGGCCCTAGAGACATGTATAAACATGTTTACTTATGCTGTAAAGTCAGGCATTTTAACATGGAAGTCTATGGGGATTGACCACGGATGTATAAAGAGACCTGGATGCAGCATTGGAGGCAGGACCCCATTCATTTGTATAAAAGTTGCTCAGGAGCGCATGAAGCCAAAAAAGGTCTATTTCTGCTGCATGAAATTACGTATGATCATCGCTGCTTCCGCATCATTGGGCCCAAGGAGCAAGCCTGCAAGAGATTACCACTACTTCCAGTTTAGCGCTTCACTAACATGAATGGGAATAAAAATGATTCAATCTTGCGGCTCTTCTAGACTTTCCAAATGTTATTGGACTGAATGGATTAAATGTTGATAGTGGGATGAGTCATTTTGCAGAGGTTGAGATGCTCAGTGCCCAGTGTCAATCTATGGGAAAAAGTATTTTTGGGCCCAATGGCATCACGTGACAGACCTCACAAATTACAGTACCACTGTTCAGCCACTACAAAAACTGACTTCAAAGCCCTGCACTCTTCCTGGGGACCTGGGTTTGACATGTTTCTGGAGCCAGCCTCCTGTGGCCATTTGAGGAACTGCAGTTTTTGGCACTCTTTGATGGCTTCACTTTTCAGCCCCAGAGGTTGCTGATCGGTTTCTGTTTGATTTCTCATGTAAAAGTTTTAACAGCGAACTGGAATGATATCATAGTAATTTGCAAACTTAATTTCTCACATGTTAATGTAAATTCACCATGATTAGGTAGGTATACTAATAGGTGGATGGGTAGGTTACCAAGGAGGAAGTGGATATACTCTCCTATATATTCCAATAGCTATTTGGCTGATAGGTGGGTATACTGTAAACAGCAAGAAAAGGAGTTGGGTATCCCCTCCATACCTACGTATACCCTCCTCTACACCAGTGAATTTAACCCCAACACTGCGATACTGCTCCACCAACATGTGTTTGTTGTGTTTAGTGAAGGCATCTGCAAACGTGACTTACAGCTTCCAGCCTTTTCATTCAGGTGGCCCCACACCTAGTTGTTCACAGCCTTGGCCTAAATCTTGACAGATCACAGACGGGTTTACAATGGGAGGCAAAAAGGATGTGGAGGTGGTAGCCTTCATCCCCCACTCTTGCAGGCAAACACTGAGAGTTTTCTTTTGAAAAAGTCAGGAGTGACACATTAGATGTTGAAGGTTGGCAAAAGCGTCAAAATGGGCAGGAAATTAAGATGGCGTCATGGGAACATTTTACTTTACTTTCATCCAGACTGAATTTCAACGAGTGGGCTGGCAGCATGGAAACAAGGAGATAACTGATGAAGGACACAGGCTGCTATGCAACCTATTTCCGCTGTATATGAGTGAGTGTAAGAGTGTAGCTCGACATGTTTGGGAAAGTTCTCAGTGTATCTCTGTAATGCCACTGGGACAGAGGCCTGTAATTTAGGTTGATGGACAAACACTTTCCTAAATGTGAAATATATTCTGATGATTCATATAAGTGTCTACATCTGTTGTGTTTCAGGAGGTTGGTGCAGAATATTTTGTCCGTTCAGTCCAGCCTGGACCCCCTCCAACCTGGACCCCAAGACAGCGTTTACCTTCAACTGGACTCAGAGTGCACCAGTAGAGGAGAAGGCTGCTGCTGAATCACAGGAACAAGCAAACACAGCCAAGACCTGCTCATTAGTTTCAAGTTGTTTCAAGCGCCACCGGGCAAGGCACTTCACCCTCAAGTAAGTCTGTCCGCTAATAGAAGAGGACAAAGAAGCACCAGGAGGCTGTCACTAGAGGCGTCTTATATATAAGGAGGTGTAGATTGGTTTTACTGAGCAGGTCTTTAGCAGGTGTTCATGTCTGAGTCTGCATGGATCCAAAATGACACTATGAATATTAAAGCAGCACAGAGTCTTACAAGTGTCACTAAAACTATGTTCTATTCTAGACGATGTACGATTAGAAAATATGTGGGAAAGCAGCAGCAGCAGTTGTACTGTCACAAAGCCTGAATCAAGGTTTCTCAAAAAAAATCAGTCCTTTAACTCCAGCTTCAGATCCAAACAATCTAATCTAATTAAAATACAAGGAGTCTCTGTGTCTGCCTGCCCTGCGATATCCTCCACAACCGTTCATCCAATCAAAATCGCACTTGTGTATTGCTGAGGACCAAGGAAAGTGCAATGTCAAGTGCAAGCTCTTGAGATCTAAGGGACATTTTTATCGGTAGTGCTACCACCAGAACTACACACTGTGTTGTGTATTGAGAGGGGAACCCTATTGACTGCAACACCCAGGCCATTAGGAAAGCTGCCAAGCCTTGCTTTTAATTAGTTCCGGCGGCCACTCACGGTATTGCAAGGAAAAAAACGCTGCAGCCGTAAAAGCATTTTCCCCATTGACCACCATTATAAAGGAGATATCTGTAAAACTGTTGACAGGACACCTTGAAGTGCAAACAAGATCAGATATGACTCTTTCTATTATGAATTGTTTGAGCCATGGATGGGTCCACGTGGATGGGTCCAACAACCACCGAGTGTTCACTTCCCATATGATTGCAAAGCCAAACCCTGTTCTTTTCCTTTTTTTTTTTAAACTCAACCATGTGCGAGTATAGGCACATACAACCATGTGTTTGTTGTTGAGGGGGAAAAAAACTCAATTTGCAGTGTTGTACCAATTTAGTGCTTTTATTTTGAAAGAGACTGTTTGCAAATTGTACATTTCCTGTGACTGCCAACACACCCAGGGTACCTTGAACCTTGTATGTGGACTTGGAAAGTCCATTACCAAACATCGATATGTGACGAGGTCGGAGTGAGAATGTGTTGAACCTTTGAGAGTGTGACGGGAGCTCCGTATGGATAACAAACTCTACAACTTATTTTTATTCAAAATATATCAAGTATCTATCAGTAAATCACTCTTAGATCTCCAGTAATCCGATCTGCCATTCAGCTGCCACACATCAGGTCCCACCTCAACGGTTGTTTGATGATCATTGTATGCTTTCAACAATGTACGTGATTATTATAAAAATATATACAAACTTATTATTTTCATTTTCTTTTAATTTGAGTAAAAGTCATGTTGTCAGTATTTCTGCAGAATATGCAGGGATCCCCCCTTGAGGACAAGGAGGAGAGAGAAGCATGGAGGGAAACAGAAGGAGCAGAGTGAAGGGGTGTGTGTGTGTGTGTGTGTGTGTGTGTGTGTGTGTGTGGTTATTAATGAAAAGGTGTGAGAACGTGGTGTGCAGCGTGCTCAGTACTGCTTCCATGTCACCTCCTACAACAGGATGAGACACATGGTATCCCCGTGCTAACAATAAGGGGTGTGTGTGTGTGTGCATGTAAAGTGTGAGGCAAATGGTGTGTAGGTGCTGTTGTGTTTGTGTTTTTATGTATTTGTCAGACGAAGGCACATGGATGTGCATGTGCCTTGGAGACGTCAAACGCTCACACACATGATGTCAGCATGGCAGTCTTTGTGAATAAATTCCCACTTTTTTTTTATCAAAATCACTTATTTCCTGACAAATTCTTCTTCTGAGTGTTTGTGGTTTGACTGTAATGTGTTTGCATCCATTCACTGATTTCCAATGACTTGGTGTGCAGTTGCTGTTTCCAAAATGTACTTCCTGTTGAGTTTTAACACATTTTAGAAACTTACCAGTGTGTCCAAAAATCTGAAATCTGTCCCGACTGTGAAGGCATGATGTCACTGAAGTTTAAAGAACCACTAGCCCCTTTTACACTGCCAGATTTTCCATGAATGTTGGGCCATTTTGCTGGCAAGCTGAGAGGGTTTAGACACACAGAGCCAGATTGGTGAGTTGATCCGAGGTGCCCAATTTTCTTCCTCGTAGGGTAGACATATTGGCGGAACCCTTTTAGTTTAAACAGGCCAAGGCGGCCTTCCGAGGCAGGCCGTTAACCATCAGGTGACGGGGACGGTGAAGGACAGGCCAACTTATGAGAGAATCGCCAAAGGACTGACCAGCCGCGGCTTCCCTCCCACCTCACTGTTTACGTCACACACTGAGCTACACGTTTTGTTACTTGCTCACGCCCCCCATTGCCCCAAAAAAGGTGCATTCTGTATAAACAAAAGTAGGCAGGTGGCATTTTGCTGCACTCCCCGATTTTGTTTTTATACTGCCAATGCTGAAAGAAGACTGATTGGGCTTTCCTGCAAATTTGCACAATTCCTATTTAAAGGTTCATTCTCACTGCCGCGATGTAGAAATGCGAGACAGATTTGCGGAATATTCGTGCAGCGCTTTTCCGCCTTTAAATCATACACACAGGCGCGGTATGGACGCGGTGCGGAATTTCGCGTTGTGTTCCAAGTCCGTGCTGCGTGAACGGGTGTGGGTGAACATGGACGAGAGTAGCAGCAGCAACAGTGAGTCATCAACTTTCTTTAGCACTTACCACTCTCACCGCGGCCACCAAGCTGGACAATGGACTGCCAGACGTTGTCCTTTAATTCATTGTTCATAAAATCATCCTGTCTTTTATCAAAAAGGACGGGGTGCTGTGAAACGAGGTTTATCAACCTTTCTCCCATACTGTCCTGCCTGACAGGATTTCGGACTCTCCCGGGTCTGCACAACTATAAACAAACAATTTCATTGGTCCAGCTGTGTAGTTCCGCCGGCGAATTCCGCGGGGGGTCCAAACTCCGCGGTGTGCAAACTTCCATAAGAACCCATTAAATCAGCTTTTATATTTTTCCGCGAGAATAATCCGCGCGGATATTCGCCCTCAGTGAGAATGGACTTTAAAAAGGGCTACTTGCTGTTGGAGCATGAAGTAAATTCCATTACAACCTCCCTGTTGGAATATAAGATATTTTAAAGGTGGTGTTTTGACCTGAACATGGTGGTATTGAGGAAACGTCAGGGTGACTAAAGCTCAGTACACACTGTGCAATTTTGGGCTGTCTCAGACGAAAAAGGACCAGCGTGAAAGAAATGTGGCGATACGTTTGGTCCTGGCTCTAAACCGGTGGTCCTATGTGACACAGTGAGAGAGGTTCAAGGATAGCCATTGTCACGGTCTTGCGATCAAAGACATCCTGGGATAAAATCATGACAGTGTTAGAAATTTAGGATGACCATCTCACTGTGTGCAGAAGCCTTGCCTGTATGATTTGTCCTCCAGCTCTTATCATGATCACATAAAGAAGGACGAAGCGTGGGGGGAAATAGAGACGGAGTTACAACTTCCAGGTGAGCAACCTAGCAGCTAGCAAACCCTCTATGTTGTGCTTTACAGTTGGAGAAGTAATAACCCGTGCAGCATCCTCATACACTCAGTATGGGAAGTTGTTGCATCGTACATCGTTGCCTGTGATTCAGTCGGCGGTGTCATCGTACTGTCTGCAGACATCAAACTTGATGTCGTACCCGTAGCTGCACTAAACTTAAAAGATTGCTAAATTCTCACAGTCTGTAGGAGGTTTAAACACATTAGGATTTATCCTGAGGAGATGCAACATGCTTATGTGGTGTCATGGTGAAGTGTTGCTTTGGAGACAAATATTTGAGAGATAGGTGGACAGACAGATGGACGCAGCCCAAAACCCATTTACACACACAACCAGAAAAATGTGTGTGTTTGACCAAAGTGTTGGTGTTTGTACTTCCATGTGGGTTTTTCTGCCCCCGTGTGTGTGGGCTTCTATTCTTATCAGTGAGATGGAGGAAGGCTGGATCTCTCTGCTGTTAGTCGTCCACACTCAGTCGTCCACACATGCTACAACCCTTGACAAAATTGCCGGATGTTGGACAGATGGACTTTTTTGTCACTCTGGCCATTTGTCAGAAAGCAGCAGTCACTACACAATAAGTATGTCATCTTGCCCCACTCCTATTTTTTCCCGCTCCATATAGTTTTGCAGCTCACAGTGTGTCAGCAGATACAAGAGCACTTCAGCCAGACTGAGCTGTAAATGGACACATTTTCTCTTGCTAAGAGCATTTTGGTGCTTTTGTATTCCAGATCCTTCTCTCTGCTCACGTCACCTTACAGGTCGTAGCGGCCCGTCAAAAGTCTGCCGATGCAGAGTGGAGAAAACGAGCAAGAAGTGCTGATAATCATGATGCTAACCCATCTGAGAAGTAATGTGAGGACAAAGTGGATTCAACAACATACATTTCAGACTGCAGGCAAAAGTGAGTGACACACATCTGATTTCTTAATTTCCACATGGAATCTGACATTTTAATTCTGATTTGAGCCACACACGTCAGATTTTTTGCAATGTGACCTCAGTCTGAACAGTCCTATCAGAAGATCGACATTCGTCACAGTTCTGTGCTGGTGGGAGTCACTTAGTGAACCTGCCAAGTTGCAGAACACTGCAGACCACTGTTCGAGACCAACAAACATCCATCCATTATCATCCGCTTATCCGGGGCCAACTGCTGCAGGCTGAGCAAAGTATTCCAGATGTCCCTCTCTCTAGCAACACTTTCCAGCTCCTTCTGGGGATCCCAAGGCATTCCAAGGCCAGACAAGATATTAATCCCTCCAAAGTCCTCTGGGTCTGCCCCCTGGGCATCCCACCAGTCAGACGTGCCCAGGAGGATCCTGATCAGATGCCCAAACCACCTCAACTGGCTCCTTTTGATGCAAAGGAACAGCGGCTCTACTCCAAGCTCCCTCCAGATGGTCAAGCTCCTCACCCTATCTCTAAGGCTGAGACCAGCCACCCTACAGAGGTTTGT